CTTTTTCACCCCGCTCCAAGTCCGCCCACATGCTTTCATCTCCTCTTCACATGACCTCCTCCAAGTCACCCTTGCACTGACGACCAAATCTCCGCTTCCCTTTCGGGTTCCACTCGAGCAATGGCTTGTCTAGTGATGTCACTTGATGGTTTCTTCATACTATGACCAATCCATCTCCATTTCGTCTTGCCTATTTGTTTCACGATCGGTTCCTGGTTGGTTCGCTCATTTCTAGAGATCCCTGTTGCTGATCTTTTCTGGCCATCTGATCTTGAGTATTTAACTATATTAGACATTTCAACATTCAATTCACTTAATATCAACTATTTTTTTCACTTTCAATTTCTATTGAAACTTCATACCTTTATGACGCCATGTACTATTAATTGACAAATATGAGTAAATGGATGCCAGTTATACCAACCAGTAGTGCTTACCAGTTGGATACAAGTTATCTAAACACATCGGAAGGTTGTCTCACACTTCTTAAGCTGAGTTGACCAGTATGACTTCTGGCTGACTACATATATCGTAATGTAAATGACTTTTGGTTTGCAAAGGAAATCATCTCAAACCGTGCAAGCTGAGAATTGAGAAATTAATTCGAAAATTGAGAATTTGATTTTCTGCTTTCATTTGATTTTCTCTCATACTGTCCAGTAAATAACTTCTTTCTTCCTCCCACTAAGTTATGTCTAATTTCTATTATTCATTTCTACCAAAGTTTATGCCTAGTTTCACTTGCTGACTTCATCCAGTAGGACGGTTCCTCTAAGTATCCAGGCTCTAGGATATTTTAGCTACAACCTTATTGTACGGTTTCTTTTTTGTTGTTGTTGGAAAGAATGGTTATGCGGCATAAAAGGCTGTGTCAAACTTTATCGCTATATATATATGTGTTTCTTTTTCAGTGGTTCAGTGATTTTTCTCTAAAACGTCTCATAAGTTCTTTACTTTATGTGAAATGTCAACCAAGAAAATACTATACAACGCATCAATGGGTTTAAGGATTCAAGCTATTCTTCAGCTTTCCCCTTTTCCTCCTCCTACTCCTTTTGCTTTTCTTCCTGGTTTGCTTTCAACATTTAACATGAAACAGTGATATTTATCATTTGGACGTTGTAGTTTCCCCACTTTTTTTTCTAATTCAAGTAACTCTGTTTGTTCCTAGTCAAACACTCTGTGGAATAGTTTGATTTTTCAACCAATGATGCGTTAGAAATATATTACTGGGTTCATAAACTACAGTTAGATATACGTATGTATATTTTTTTTCCTTTTTTGACAGTATTTTAAACTACTGGAATTTATATGTGTTATATCATTTGAAAACGACATAGAGGTACTTTAAAACTTCTTTGTATTTTACGTAAGCTTTTGGGGGAAAGAAACAACAACACACAACGAACGCAGATAAAGTTTCTTGGCTAATTTTGACTGTTTAGCAGCAGCAACGACAACAACAACAACAACAATGACATAAATTAATGCATTCCTTTTGTTTATTTACTCGGTAAAAAACAAAGAAATAAGACTTCAAAAATAATCAAAATGAATTTTATGTGAACGGGAGATTTGTTATGAAATTATGTAGTAAAGATGTATTCTAATAAATATGCGACATCAGTTAGTATTAGACTAAACATACGTGTTGTTTTGGACTATGCTACCGTTACTATTAATATAATTGGTAGTAGTAGTTATAGTACTACGCCTTTTTCCGTTATCTTGAGGTACTGTCCAGCAGTAGAAGCAGATAATCATACCATATCGAGAATTCCAACTGTAGATTCACATATACTGAGTTTCACTTCGCTAACAAATGTCCTATTGCATCAACTTATCTATCAGTTTTTAAATTCCTAGAAGCTAGTCAAATTCTTAGAATAATAATCAGGCTGAAGATATTTGAGAATTATGAGTCAGAGACTAATGCCGACTCATGCATCATTAATTAAATGGAATCACTAAGAAATAAGTGACACGTATTCAGAATACTCTTTCCTAACAGCTGCGAATAAGTATAAAGCCTAGGTCTTTGAAGCTATCTGCCAGTTCTATCAAATCATCCAACATTGACTGAGAAAGCACGCCGTCATGCGGTGGGGGGTTCTCGTGAATATGAAAACCCTATGAGCCGGTTGATAGAATTTTGTCAGCACCATTAAGAATTAGACATATTTGACTGGTTGTTCCATGGCTACCGATCAATAATAACTACCATACTCCTGCAGGAGTTCAACCGTTGGTTTGAATAGACTGATGCAGCACTGTGATGTGGATTCGAATCTCAAACGAGATATCAGTTCCTTCTTGAGTGAAAGACGATACAACATAGCTAATATGTCTCAATAAGTGTGAAACCTAAGTGCACGGTTTTATGTTGGTTGTATCAAACCACCTAATATTATTTTGGTTGGAGACAACATCCTGCCTCTAGACTAATAACACTCAATCACTCTTCAAACATACTCGGAAATACAAGGTATTTCGGATCAATGGAAGTGAAGCTTAGAATTTAGTGCACATATTTTAGCACTATGATTTATCGAAATTGATTCACCTTTGAATTCACACTCAGTAAAGTGCTAAGAATAACCCTTAAGTATCAATTCAAGACTTAAAAGGTTTCTCTGTCAATCATGGGTTAGAATGCAAAAAAGCATTAGCATCCATCAATAAATATTGATAACTAACCAATCACTTAATCATCTTGCATCTTGCAGAATTTATGGAATTAACTCAAAATGAATTAAATAAGTAATCGCTTGAAACTGGTCAACAATTTTTATGTCAGTAAATAAAACTACTGATTCCTGTTTAGTAGTGTGAGCACACAAAATTAGCTGGCATACAGTAGTGACAGATGAGTTCAATTTTATATACTTTTCTAATAGATATATATATATATACATAAATATGTATGTATATTATAAGTTTGAGCACGAGCTGACACCAGTTAGAAAACCACTGGAAGTCCTAGACAGCTATTCCATCCTATTTTTTGGACTCCTAAGCAGTACGCACCGATCGGGGTTCTAACCCGGTATCTTCCAGTTATAATGCGAACTCGTAGACCAGTCAGCCACTGGGTCCCAATCTAATGACCCGTGAATTCCATCTTCTGCAAATTTGTCATATATAGGCGAGTAACTGTTCTTGGAAAACTTAGCTAGTAACGACTTTATATATATATATATATATATATATATATATATATATATATATATAAACCAACATATGACTCGGAAAGTTTAACAGAAGAAAAAAATATTTCACTAGTATTGCCGAGTTTGTTACTAGCCATTCGTCAGTGAACATTCCGAATAACAAACTTGTCAGTCTTTATTGACAGCTAAGTTGTAATATTTTAAAATTTTGCATAAATGAGACAATGAATGTGTTTACATCGAATGACGTGAATGAATCTTAAAGTGTACATTTCAGCTAATGACTTTTGTCTCTGTCTTTCTCACCACCCTACCCACCCCCATTAATTTCCCGCGCCTATTCAGTTTAAATTAGAAACAGTAGTAAACAATTTTAATTGGTGGTGTGGATGGGTAGATTGAGGGAGAGTAGATTTCTTCTTCAAAATATTGCATTCCTTTCATTTTTTTTCTGTCTGTTTAATTTAAACTGTGATTTTGTTTTTAAATCTTTCAATTCATGCTTCACTCATACGCATAGAACGTAGACATGATTTTGTTTCTTTTTACAGCAGTTTTTTTTGTGTGTGTGCCTGTAGAGACGATTTAAAGATTAAAACAAGACTTGAAATTGTTTTAATTTTATGTTGGAGAAACAGAGAAAATTTACGAAAATCTAATTAGTGGGTGGTGTGGTGTGTAATTTGCATGTACACATGAAATCGGATATCGTTACATAAAGTAATAGGGAACTACTGAGCGTATACAGATGCATCAGCAGTCTGTTGATTTACATGCACACACGATTTTGTGATTCGCAATAGCTGACTTGGTAAATTTATCTTTTTTTCCTCACTACTTCAGTCTAGCGAATTTTATTCCTTCAACTTTCTTTCTCAAAAGTCGTTCTCCACTTCCATTATTTAAGTAATGTTTATATGAAATTAGTGTTGATAATACTACAAGGCTTAGTGATGTAACTTTAATGATCAGCTAACAGGGCTGAGAAAACACCAGACACTTCCCTGTCAGCAGATATTCGATCTTAATTGGGATTTATCCGTATATTAGACTGTTATTAGGTTTCACTGTGATAATGGGTGGTCAGAAATCACTTGACTTACCTGTCCAACAGTTTTTGTGTGCACACGAAGGTTTAGGATGGCCCATTCTCTCTCAAAAATTTTTGCTGTTACTATTTTTACTACTATTATTATTAGATGATTGGAGTCAATCGGTAGACAGACATCGACCCAAGTCTCGTGCAAGATAGCACTCACCAGTCAGCAAGGCGTATCTGAAATCTTAAGGGAACTCATGTCCCTTTTGAGATTCCAACCCGCATCACCAAGTGCCACAGTCAGAGACGTTATCACTGGACCATTCGAGCTCGTGGTTCACCTCCTTTAGGTCTGTATCAGATACGCTGATTAGACATTAACTAGTGTCATGCGTCTAATCCTTCGTTTTACTACAGACTAAATTCTATCAGTCAACACAATACACAACAAGTATTGATAAGCATTTACTGCTGGAAAGGTAACCTCCACTGTCAGTAACTACAACTGTCGACATAAATCATATCCAAAATTGAAAATTTATTTATTTACTATTGATTCCGTTTAATTAATTCCTTTCGCCTCACTGACAGAACCAATAATGGTAAACAAAACAATTATCGCTAAGACGACAAAGTAAACATTTCACTGAAGAAATATAATCGCCAATAGCCAAAAAGACTAACTTCACAGATAGCGCAAAGATGGATGAGAAAATGATGAGTATAATTTAGAAAAAAGAAAAAGCACAAACAAACAAAAAAAAAATACAAATTAAGTGGTTACAACTTACAGAAGAATCTATTCACATAATAGTTAAACATTCCCGTTAGTATTGATCAGTTTGTTTCCCATGCATTTCCACGCCGATTGTGAAACGTTGAACCCATTTTGCACAAACCCAGTGTGTACACCGTTAATGAATAACATAAGTAATACATCCAGTTGACGATGCAGAAAAGAAAACAATAATGGTAAACAAGAAGAAGCAGAATAAGTCAGATAGATGAATGAATGAATAAATAAATAAACAAATAAATTAGAATAAATAAAAAAACAATAAATAAACAAAAAATAAATAAAATACTTTGTTGTCTGAAAATAAAATTAGGATTGACTATTATGTATCTCAACGACTATCAAGGCCTCTTTCTCCAGCTGAACAACAAACAATTGCGCTGAAATTTAAACCAATTATCTTAAATTTGTTTACGGTTAGATGAGAAACAAAAAACAGTAAAGAATTATAATAAATTCCAAGTTAAACCAAATGAGTGCAACAACAATTAAAGTTGTTTTGCTTCTTTTCTTACCAGAGTTGTAGGTAATACGTGAATCAGCTTAGCTCTGTGTCTAATACTAGTAACCTTCGGAACAATTGAAAATAACTACGCTTTGATTAAAAGTCAAGAGGTTTGTTTGAAATTAGATTTCACTACGCGAATATATATTCTTTAATAGTTTGATTTTATTCCTGATAAAAATGAAATTCAGATTGCAAAGTATTACTCAACTGATTTCAGCTATTCTAACAATTGACTATTCAACTTTGTGAGGACGTAGCTCAATGTGCTAGGCACTTGACTTCCAGTCACTTAGATCAACGGTTCATACTCGTCTCCGCCTACTTCAGCCTGAATAAGTGAGTAATAAAAACAGCCCACACACATGTGTTCTAGGTAACTGTATCAGAACAACAGCAAAAATCAAAGTAGCCACAGATTATTATAAGTGATATATACAGATTAGAGTACCATGTAATTTGTACGTCGGTGGTATAGAGGTTATGACGGACGCTCACCGACCAATCACATGGTCCAGGATTCGATCACCAGCCGACTTACTCTTTTACCTCGCTAAGCCAGAAATAAAGCTGGTAAAGAGGAAAGGTTGGGCATGAGGCTAGCGATCCCATCCTGTAAAGATAAATACTGCTACAAAAACTTCAAGCGACAAGCTTGAAGCCCTATGTTCCACTAAGGGACGTGAAGGAAAAAAAAGAGTACCATTAAGACTATTCTTCAGTATACACCCATATATATATATACAAAGAGAGAGAGCGACCATCAGTCAGCGTCATCGGCGCGTGACTGATCTCTTATCTGATTTGATGAACCCTGCTGGCTACGACTTCTTACCATAACTTCAGGTAACTTTCTGTATATAGCCAGTCCCTAATGAACATCAAATTGGTTATCAGGTGTTATTTTGCACGTTTTTGATCTGTTACAAGTTTGATCACGAGTTCACGTCATTTAGAGAACCAGTGGAAATCTTGTGACCACAAAGTCCTGGGTTCGAAACCCAGTGGATCATCACTTTAAAGAGTCCTAATCTGGGACAAAACAGCTGTCCATTGTCTTACTGATGTCAACTTGTGGCCAAACCTGTAGCCAATCAAAAACCTGCAAACCAACACTTGATGATGCACATATAAGTTTAATAAAGCATAGGATTAAATTTTACTTACCATTGAAGATATATAACCTCTACACTGTGTTAAGCAGTTAATACATTTACTTTTAGTGGTGTTCCCTATCCATATTTATTTAGCTTAATTTGCCAGGCCAGTAGTTTATTCATGAATATTTTCCAGAAAGAGTTATGATTTAAAAGTATGCATTATATTTCGCTGTAGATCTTTCCAGTTTGTTGAGATATGTGGATATCAAGTAACAGTCCGCTTTTACTTATTATTCGTAAAGTGAAATCAGTTTCAACGGACGACAGTTCAAGTTGAATAGACTAAAAATTTTGATTTTTTCAATCAAAATTACCTTAAAAGTGTTACTCAGTCTATTCAGAAAAACTGGACTCTTTCTTCTAACTAAAAAGCTAACATCATCACTCGACGACTTTTCAAAACTAAGCCACCACGATAACAATCCACCACCTTCAAGTTACAAGGGGAAACTATGACCAAACAACAACGCTTTTGTTTTGCGATTTGAACGCCGTAAGCTCCAATTTCGCCTCACAATTGAAAATTAATCCACCACTAGCCAATAAAGTGACCATAGGTATGCTATTACACACTTATAGTTTCTGATAGTGCTTAACTTGTAAATTTCATTTAGACGCTTGCAGCTTTTATTATCCCACATTTGTTATGGTGAATTCAGTTCATCCCACCACTCGGATTATAAGAAGTGTGTTTCCCTGGATATTTTCTATTTCTTTCCAACATCCTATCAGTGGTTGACTAAAAGCAAACAAAATGAAGTTAAGATGTCTGAATGTAAGATTTTTTCTGTTAATACTCTTGCATAGAAATTGGGAAGACATTCATAAAATATACACATATGCATGACAGACTATTCAGGTTATCTATATACTGAAAGCGCATCAGTGGTATAACGGTTAGGACGCTCACCGACCAAGCACATGGTCCAGGGTTCAATCCTCGGCCGACGCACTCCTTTACCTCGCTGAGCCAGAAATAATGCTAGTAAAGAGGAAAGGTTGGGCATGAGGCTAGCAACCCCATGCTGCAAAATAAACACTGCTACAGAAATTTCAAGTCGCTAGCTTGAGGTTCTATGTTCCACTGGGGAACGTGAAGGAAAAAAATATACTGAAAGTCACTTCCTTAATTAGACTGACTAACACCAGTGACTTACACCTAATACTGGTGAACCAAATGGGGCAACCAAATTTTGGGAAAGGGTATTGAAAGAATAATTCCATCTATACTGGCTTGATTTCACACTTTTGATTGCTTGCTTAATACTTGCTAGCAATGGAACCCTTGAAGCGTATTTCATCCTTTCTTTGACTTCATCAAATCCATACACATGCACTCAGTGAATTAATACTGTACCCATGAAAAATCTTAGCAGGCATCTTCAATTCTATTTATTGCCTTAGTGGAGTATGAGGAACAACTCTGGTGTCTTTTTCACTGGACGGAAATTCTGTGTCTTTTGTTTGTTTCGTTGCTAACAAACGGTGACCTCTAAACTTCTTTATGAGTTAACATTATATTCATGAACTCCTTAAAAAGATAGTGGAGATGGATTGAACACACAGTAAGGATACCATTGAATGACATCGTATCACAGGCTATCGGTCGAGTGGAATTCAAATGGGAAACGAAAAGTTGGGTGTCGCGCTTCAAGGATGATATAGAAGAGATCGTATGAAGAGGAGATGAGAGCTTGTGGGAAATTGTGCAGCCAGCTAAGAAGGATCACAGAGAACAAGATGAAATGGAAACATGCTATTGAAACCTTATGTTCCACTCGGAGTCTAATCGAATAATAATAATAATAATATAGCACCCTCATTAAGTACGGCTTTGAAATGAAATTACCCAAGAAGATCTCCAGGCTGACTTTTGTGTTCTTAATTCTCTACCTGCAACTCCAGCTTTGGCTGCTTCGAAACAGACCGGATGGTGATTTCAGATGTCGAAATTATGAGTGTCGAGTTTTAACCTGTGAACAGACACCACCATTCAATTAAATGCAGATTTGTCGACTAACAATTTCTACCTACGATGATATTTGCACTCTGAATATCCCTGCAAGTACCCATAAACACAACAAAAACTTCATTTTGGTTGATATATATTAAAGATTTTCTACTGGTAATATGAATGGTAATAAATATTTCTGTTGTTACATAACGATTTATAATGGAAAGTAAAATGTTGAATTATTGAAGTGAATTTATTTATTAAAAGTTGTTTATTTTTTTCAAAAATAAATGTATATCAGTCAGTAGATAGAATGAATATTTATTTCTTGAAATAAACATGGTCACGACATGCATTTCATTCTTGAAAGATGGAACACACCTAGATGACATGAGTTATTATGAACAGACTTCAGACATAAATACACACGCACACATGATATATCTCTTCAGGCTTCTTGTATGATTTATTTATATCAGAAATGCTTTTATTCACTGTAGCAGTTATTATTATTATTTTTAAAATCATTTTCTTTTCAATATAATTCAAGTAGAAAAAAGGAAATCATTAGAATCGAATTTCCGTCGAACACCACTCTTTCAATCATATACTAGCTATTTTGAAAGGCTGTAAGCCCCAGTTGACTAAAATGTACCCTGTCTGAAATGATGAAGAGACAGTAGAGTTGGACAGTAACATACACCATGTTATAACTGACTCACCGTAATCGCCTCATGAGTTCCTTCTTCTGGCTCACCTAAAATCTGTCGTCCATTGCTTCCTCTCTCGAATCATTTTAAAAGTGGTATAATTTTAAATTTTATGGTTTCTCGATGCTGACGCATTCCAGTTTTTAAAGGAATAATGGAATACATCAAACAAAAACACTTAATATACGGAGACAAATCAAATATTCCCCCTAATCATTTATAGAAATTACATACATTATAGGTTATTACATTTCAGTTTTCAAACTAAGTGTCATTAGGCTGAGTTCTACAACAGGTGATTCTGTCAAAACGACTGAGAATCATCAACAAATTCTCACACTGTCGTTGTAGTTCATAACACAGATAATGAAATCTATGTTTTTAGTAACTGGATTTTGCTAACCAGAAAAGGACGAAGCAGTCAGTGATCCGAATCTATGTCAGAATCAACGTCTAAACAGAGTATCATTGCTTGAAGTGTATTCAGGAATTAAGTGAAAGAAGATAATGCCTGTATTGGGAACTCTCTTCTTCTTATTCATGGAATTCCAACTGAAGCATACGAAGGACTTCAAGCTTTCAAGTTTCATTAGCAATGATGTTATTTTTACGTGGTAGCTACACACTCAGTTTGCCCTCTTTTATGAATAGGCGAGATCTAAAAGTAAGTAGGA